GAATTATTATTATTGATTATTGTGCACCAAGTGTTTACATTGCAAATACTGTCGATAAGAATATTTATGTTACTAAACAAAATGTTCTATTTTTAATAATTCTGAAAATGTTCGTTACAATTTGTAATACACATTAAAAAATCTATGCATCGACAATGATGATAGTTTTGATCAATTATTGACACGTAAAAATTAAAATAAATTTGTAATTAGAGTCCTTAGAAGTGACTATTCGTTGTTAGAGTTGGTGATATATCAATTCTTGAATCGTTATACGTAATTTGCAAAAGCCATTGATATCAAAATAGTGTACATTTTTGTAAATTTTTGGAATGTCTCTGCGAAAATCAAAGTTTCCTCGGGACTGTTGCTGAATGTGATACTAATGAAAAGCTTGCAACTGCAAAAATATGCAAATGCAATTCGATCCTTCATATTGATAGCAAATTTTCAACTAGAGTCGCTCTCAGTTTGCTGATACTGTCTCTGTACGAAAACAATTTAAATTTCGATACAGTAAAATACGATTGTTTCTTGATTTGTACTTTGACACACGAAAAAGATATAGTCATCAGTTAGTCGATAAAAGTTAATTGTATAAAAAGTTAGTATGTTTGTATTCTCCAAAATTTACTCTTGTTCGATTTTTGCACAGAGACGTATTGAATTTTAAATTCAGTCGTTTAATAACTTTTCTAGTAAATTCATTTTTTTATTTTTTGTATACTCGATAAAAATGTCTGACACTTTCTTATCCTTTATGTCTACTAACCCCTTCTTTTTCAGCTTTTAATCCAAGGAATCATTTTTTGTTTCAGGTTATTTGCAGAAATTTTGTACACTGAATCTCTATTTGCCAAAATGAAGAGTCAACAATCTCAAGAAATTTGATATTATGTTTCTAATCGTTTTAATTTCTGTTTCAGGAATCCTCGTGGGATCAAATTTTAAATTATTGAATTGAAATGTTGATAAAAATGTATTGTTATATTCTTCTATTCTTATTGTACGTTATATATCTATGTTCTCTTCAATTTCTGTTTCAGGAATCCTCGTGGGATCAAATTTTAAATTATTGAATTGAAATGTTGATAAAAACGTATTTTTATATTCTTCTATTCTTATTATACGTTATATATGTATGTTCTCTTCAATTTCTGTTTCTGAAAGAATCCTAGGATCGAATTAATGCTCGCTAAATTATTCTAAATTATTAACTGTCCACTGATATGATATTATTCACTGAGTTTCTCTTCCAGGGATCATTCTAGAATCAATCTACAAGTTCATCTGAGTGAATTATTTATAATCTGTTAAACGTTTTGTTATGATCCTCCCAGTTTCTGTTTCAGAAGACATTATATGAAGATTTCTCTTCACCCGAAGATCATTTTATGAAGATTTCTCATCACCCGAGGATTGTCATGGAGCCGAACGGGTTTAAAAAATAACTGCGTTATTCATGGGCGTAGCTAGGTTATCAGTCAGGGGGGAGGCAATGTAATTTTTTATTATTTAAACAATTATTATTTCTTTATTAATTGAGTATATATCGTGGTGGTACGTTATTCATTTCACAAATTGCAGTAATTTGGAGACAATGTGTACAATAATTTTATAGTAGTCACTTCAGTATTCTCATTTCAATACATTAGTCAGATATCATTTATGAATATAGAATGAAGTATATAAAAAAAGTTAAATAATACAATAACATAACTAGAATAACATAAATAGAAATATATAAGAAAATTCGCAATGGCCTATAAATAATGGTCAGCTGATAAAAAAAATAATATTCGAATCATTAATGTGTGCAAATAAGTATCGTCGGTAGATTCTAATACAGAGTAGAAAGAACGAAAACCACACCGGTATGTTTATGATAGAGAAGAAAACGTGGTGGTGCCTTCCTGGATAGGCATGTGTAGCAGTTAGAGCAATACCACGAGACGCGACAGCACGTTTCAATCCCGGAACCAGTGTCGCGAGACACAAAGGTATCATTCGTATTTGCAAGTTCCATGAAATAGTGGAACACGTGTACTGGGAATCGCAATAAAGTATCGGTGCATAAAAAGAAGACGTATTAAGTTATGTCACCTGTGCATCGATATGCACGCCCTAGTGAAAAACCGCGTGTTATGGAATAATTTAACACGTTGTGCATGTATGACCATTGAAAAGTGCATTGCGATTTCCAGTTATCGTGGCCGGTGTTTTCGTTGCCACTGGCGAAGAACGCATACGGTTACGTACACGGGTAGAGTATCGAGACGTACTGGCGTGTACTCACGACCACTTTAATGGAGTGTGAGCGTTAAATGCAGGGAAGGTACTACTGTGTTTCACCAGCATGTATTGTGTATAAACATATTTGTATGGTAGACGTATATACTCAGAGGGATTGAGTATTTGTATTCTGTCCATTAAAAAGGGCAGGCCCAGAGTTGTCCATCTACTACTTATGCGCAGCATTCTTGCCCTCCGGAGGAACCCTCACTATGGGACTTGGATCGACTCGCTCGAGTCAATCTGAGGTCGGTAGTCGGGGATACCTACGAGGGGAAACCTGTAATTGCTTGTAGCTCGTGGGTGGCATTTGGACACCTTTGGTATTAGAGTTAATTTTTATGATAGTTAGTCTGTTATTAAAATTTTATTTCACCCATTAGTGTCTTAATTATTATTTTCAACAGCTATACCATCATTTGTAGATAAATAACGAAATTAATATAACGTAAATTTATTTACTATTTGAATACAATATATAATGTGCCAGTTTACTGTGAAGTACTTTAAGATTAATATTTGTCTTCATTAATATTTTTAATACTGTATCTACAATTGTACATTAACAATTTGTACCAAATTATATCACAAATGCGTACTACCACGTTACTCGATGACAGAAATAAAAATTGAGTAGTGTATTCTGACTGATGTATGAGACATGACAGGCATGTACAAGAAGGCGTTTCGCGACGGGTAGATTTTTGCGTCAAAGTGACATAAAACATAAAACAAAGATCAGTATTTGAAGGTTTCTCATCAACCGAGGATTGTCATAAAGCCGAACGGGTTTAAAAAATAACTGCGTTATTTGAACATTAGTTTCCATGAGCATAGCCAGGTTATCAGTCAGAGGGAAGCAATGCAATTTTTTTTCATCCATGGGGGTGGGGGCAAGTGCCCCTCCTGGCTACGTCCATGTTAGTTTTACTTTCTGCGTTGTGTTTAGTTTAAGTTGTTAAATGTTCAAACGTTATTGTAAAAGGGGGATAGATGTGTAACGCATGTGATTCCATCTATCCTCCTTGGGTCTCCATTCGCAGCAACCTCCACGTGGTGAGACCTGGGCAATCATTATTATTTGGTATATAATTGGCAACTATAATCACCTACAAATTGGCGAACTATATAGCAAATAATATGAGCCAATTGGCTGCGAGCTTTTGCTCATTTTGATTAATTCATTTTTGTTGTTAGTTTCTTTACTGGCTAGATGTAAGTGGCAAGAATTTCTTGTTCTGTATACATATAATCTGTTCGCACCACCATAGACGAGGCATGACTGATAAAAAAAACCATGCTCGAAGATTCGTATTTTGTAAAGGAAATTTTAAGGAATGTGGCTATATTTCTGTTCAAATTTTCAACTTGTCGAGTGATACGTTGGAGCGAGTGGCGTTGCTAGTGATCAATTAACGGACACTCAATTATTGGGCTTCTACTGTAATTCACGAATTCACCGTTCTCATAACGTAGAGGGCAGCAAAAAATCTCTGTTTGCACGATCGGTATTTTAGAACATGAGACACAAAATCCCATCAGATGATAAGTCTATTTTCTATCTCGTCTGTGGTAGGGGTCACTAAAATGACAGGCTTTTTAAGATGTCGGTACTACAGTTCAGGTGGACCACGAACTCCCATAAGATGAAAAATCTATTCTTATACATACCTCGTCAGTGCTAGGATGTTGTAATTAAACAAATTTTCTAACGTAAGTGCGAATTCAATTATGTAGATATGTACTTACGAGAATCAGTTGCTATTCGAAGCCGCCTAGTGGAGAACTCGGTAAACGTTGCCACAAACGGACTGTACGCCTTCATTGTGGCTCCACCTTTAGGATGAAAAATTCATTAGTTCCATGGAAACGTACAATACATAGCAGTTTGCAACAACCGTGTTCCGACCACGGAATTTATTTCAACAAAAACACTGCTGAACACTGCGTTGTTTTTCTGTATTATAGAACACTATCGTTTTGTCGTTGAACCGATCCATCTAACCTCACCGTCTCGAGAGGTCCCGTACGATCGGTTATGGTGTCTGGGATCGTGTCGAATCTCGTACTCGCGCATGATCAGACGGGAATGAATCTTTTCTGTGTCAGAAAAATTCAGTCGCTGTGCGTATGCCTTAAAACGATACACTTGTTATCTGTGGAAGCTTCGTGAGCGTAAACAAAACTATTCGCGAGCATGCTATTCCCAAAGTTCCGCGTTATTTTCGTTTCGCTATCTTCGAGTGGCCGTGGCTAGCAATGATCACCACCGTCAGGGTTTGTTTTCGTGCGACGGGACAGTTCCCTGTGCTCGCAATAATGCGTCGTCGACTGTACGGTCGTGTTCATTTCGCGCGGCTGAGTCCTCGTCTCTCGTAAATATTGCCGTCAATTTCGCCTGATGATATGGAGGAGGAACGGATCATGGATAGGTACGCATTGTGCTGCGATGAACTTTTATTTACATGCAGACTAAGTCGACGAGTATAAACATGGCCGTCGAGCTTTGTGATGATTACTTGTGTCAGTCTGAGGTCGAGAAAACCCAGCCAAAATGGAAATAATGGACAGAACGCATGCACCCGAGATAACCAGGTAAACGACACGCTTCCGTGCTTTAGAACGTCCCTCACCCTCGACCCTCTGTTACGACTCGCTTACGTTGATTCTGTGCATCCTCGGTATTTATCTAACGTATAGGGTGTCCCAGCTAACTTGAATATCCAATATATCTATACCATTTTTAATAATATGAGAAAACATTTGAGGAAAAAAGGTATAAGGCTCACGGGACTTACTGCTGTAGTTTGCAAAATAATTAGGTCATGGTCATATTTTCGTCTATTTCAGTGTCATTACTTTTTGTCGAACTAGGTCATTTAGTTTTAATTGTCTCAAGTTTCAATAGACTTCGAGGCAAATTCAGCTGTGTATGACAACATGATCATCGGTTGAGTTTAAAGTTATGCGATAATGTAAAAGTGATATGTTTTCAATGATATCGAAAGATTTACTGGTATGTCCTTGGAGATATGCGACACTTGACCTAACATAAAATTTTTTTTTTTTCAAGGTCGTGCAAATGCCATTGTTGAATTAGTCTCAAGATCTGTCATTACATGGCGGAATTAAGAAATTCATAGTTTAATTAAAAATTTAATATTGACCTTGAAATTTAGGAATACATGATTTTGACCAAATTATTTTTTGAATGACAATATTGAACCTCCTGAACTCTACGACTTTTTCCTTAACCATTCTTTCGAATTATTGGATGTAACTAAAATATTTTGGGATGCGCTCGGACTCCTTGGAAGCTGGGACACCTTGTATAAATCTGCACATTCGTATATTAGATACAGTTTGTTTCATTTCTTTTTCTTTTTTCCCTTTTTTTTTTGTTCTTTTGTTCCGTTTAATTTTTTTTACGTGATCGCGCGAAGGTGACTGAACCTCACCAGGCGTGCAATACGTCATACGCATTGTTAACCACGTAACGCGATCGCAATCATAGCTCAGCTGATTACTATTGACCCTATTGGTATGTTGCTGTCAGTGGGAAGCTTTCATAACTGTTTTGAAATAGAACTGCTTGACGACTCAAGTTTTTATTTATTTTACCGTGGTATTCTTTGCTGCTAAAACAATCGTTTCTTGCGTGTGGTGCCGTTTTTGTGTTTGTTTTGAATAATGTGTCAGTGATATTGAATTTTAGTGCCTCCAATTGTGAGTACTGCATTTTGCAACAGTGCATTCAAAGCAATGCATTTATGTGTGTCATGTGTTTATAAATGTGCATATTTACATTAACTCGTTATTATTTTATGCACACACACGTTTGAAAATATTTATGATTGTATTATTTTTAATAATTTATATGATTTAGAGGCATGTAGTATAGCTAGAACAGAATGCAGTAAATCAGAATTTTTTGAGAAAATAATTTGTGTACCTATGTAAGGATCAAAAATCAGAAAGTGTATTTGTTATATATTAATAACTGAATAAGTAATAAGACGTGTGCTCCTCTTTGGTATTTTGTCGTTTTATGTTGGAAGGGAAGAATATAAGAAACATTTCTTTTAAACTGCATTAAGGGAAATTATTTATTTACTATGTACATTATTGTATACCCTGAAGTGAATAATGTTAAGTATTAGTTGTAGTTCACTTCTTGTTATCTTATACATTAATCTTTGCTCTTAATATGTATGGAATACTAAAGGTCATCTGCACAGTAATAAACACTGATAAGAACAATATTCTTGGAATTCTGTTTATTTCAGATTTGGTAATGTTTCTCTTTACATTCAATTACCTTTTTTCATAAACTTAAGTTTGTTATTTAAAATGTTTATTTTCGGTATATTGATTTGGAAGATTATATTTACAGATTTTTCTAACACTTAGAAGGCTAAAGTTGTGTATTATTAATTGCTGCAACAACTTTTCTCAAAAGATTTTTGGTTCTTCTGTAAAATGTGCCATGGATCAAGTAGATCATCTGTTGTAACATTTACAATTTAGAAATTATATTCTTAGCAATGTTGTAAATGGAAGAGCTATTTAAACAGTAACTGGGGGTTTTAAGATTATATCACAGTCCACATTTACAAAAAGTTACTTTTAATAGAAATAGTACTTACAGCATTTACAAACTCTGCATACATAAGAAAACAGTTCATTGCTAAAACAGTTTGATAAGATAATCATTATAACAAAAATTATAGATCAGTGTTTAAATATGTGGTGACCTTAAAAAATTTATTCCTTTCAAGCTTCGATAATTTCGTCGGAAATGGATGAAAAGATTTTCGGGCATTGAGATATCCATTTAAAAGGCGCTTCCGAATCAATGCAGTGCACTTTCTAGGTAAATATCGTATGTTCGCTAACAAAGTGAAAGTTTCAGATGCGATCGGTGACTTTCGTTATTTTTACGTAAACCACTTGAACGCTTATAGAAGCTTGTTTAAAAAATTGGTTAGAAATGTTTCAATTTACGTTATATTAAAAACAAAATTTAGATAACTGATGCAGTTATTAGTAAAATATTATTTCATAAATTTTATGTAAATAATGCAGAATTATTCATTTTGTTTTAATTTATAAATAGAATTAAAGATAATGCATGATAGTTATTCATTGAAAAATAGGAATCGCATTTTTTATATCCAGTGTACTTATATTTGGCCTGTAAAAGGTTGGCATTGAAAATGCATCAATATATATCTGTATGAAAGATTGATGTATATTTTTTAATAAATCACCAATCGATAACATGGTTTAATTTATCTTATAATTAATAATTCAGATAATCGGTCTGTTTTTAAGTATGTTCAGATCAAAATGTAACTAAACAATTCTTGTTCTTGTAAAGTCATATAGTGTTTTACAACAGAACAAGCTTTCTTTACTGGAACAGTTCAAGGTTTAAATGCTTTTAATGTTAGATTAAAAAAAATTATAAGAGACATGTTTATAGTACTCAGGTGCACCAATGATTTCAGGCTGTTGTCTGGGTGAGCAATGAATGTATTCCGAATTTTGACTCCATGTGTATTGCAACGCAGACGACCAAAGGAGGTAGATAATTCCGATAAAAGGGATTGCTGGTTTGTTAAAAGACGGCGGGGAGATGCTTCTTACATGATACATAGAATGGGTGCTTCTGCATCGTCAAGCATCACCAGTGTAGGTGGAGATTCAGTCCAAGCAGCTAGACTCTCATCTTCTGGTAATCCTGATCAACATGGCATTGCTATCAGGTATGCAAACATTTACTCTTTTCATTATCTTCTTTACAGTTTGCATTTTATAGCCCCAATTGCTGCTGATAAAGTTCCATGTAATCATCCACATCTGTTGATACCCCAAGAATCTTAATGAAATGCATTGAGTTCCAAATTAGTTATCACAAAAGTAGACAAACATGATTGAACAAAAACCCTATATGTCCTTTCTATTTTTAGGGAGAAGAAGAAGAAAATGACGGGGTTTGCGACATTAAGGAAGAAGTTCATTCGAAGACGCAGGTCCTCGAAGGCCTGTGATCATGGTAGAATAATCAGAGATTTAGTGTCGACATGGAGTCACCTGGAGGCAACGGCTCTACTGGAAGAGTACGAGGCGTTGGCTGCATTAAAGGATCTCCATGTGCAAGCCGAACTAGCCAGACCACCAGCTGCAACGTACAAGCAAGACTTGTCGATACTTTATGATTATAAACACTGCTCCGATGTAGATCTCGTTTACCGAGGAGCGTGTTTTCCCGTTCATAGGGCTCTGTTGTCTGCGCGTTGTTCATACTTCAGGGACTTGTTAGCTGGATGTCCAGGTACATAAATATTTGCTTCTTTCTGAAACGTTCTCGAGATTACAATTCAAGGTACACTCGTGTTACGTTAATGACATCACCTTTAGAAATTATCAAAATGTAAACGTTGTTACCCACTTCAGACTAAGCGCTGCAGTAATATTTAGTTATATCTTAAATTATTAAAGCAGTAATAAAATTTATTTAAACTGAAAAAAGACCCTGACATTGGATTTAAGTCCCTAGTTGTTTTTATATTTGAATGTTCTCAGAGAATTCTGATTTTTTTGAAACTATGCAGGTTTGTAGGTGACCTCAATAGAAAGACTAGGCAAAACAATTTGAGCTTGATACTTTTATTGACCTCTCCTGTAACAAATCTGCAGAGTTTCAAGAAAATCGAAATGCTTGGATTAACAAAGTTCCCGTATAAGTAGTGACATTTTACAATATATTCCGATGCACATTGATTCTTGCCAATAATTTTTGCTCCCATAAAGTCTCTTTTGACGTAAAGTAGTGATTCTGAATGATTATTGTGTACTGTTTTCGTATATCACAACGCTGCTGTATGAATATTTTAGGATACGGCGCAAGGATATGTTTGGAGCTGAGAACACCGAATCTCGAGGTTCAAATGTTTTCGGCGCTGTTGCGCTACCTCTACACCGGTGATATTTGTCCACACGATGCGGCCCTAGAAGCGAATCTTCTGCGACGATTAGGAGAAGAATTCGGCACACCGAACCCGTTAGAACACGATCTCAGATACTTGCTGGATACCGGTGATTACGCGGACGCAGCATTAGTGTTCACGTCAGACAGTGATTATCAGAGACCAGACAGTGGAAGTTCAGAATACGGATTCCGGCCAAAGTTAGAACTGCCATGTCATAAAGCGATACTTTCTGCGAGATCCCCGTTCTTCAGGAACTTAATACAAAGACGGACTAGATCGGGGGAAGATCACACAGAAAGGGCGCTTCACATACCTACTAGAATAGTTTTGGACGAGAGTGTGATACCTAAACGATACGCCAGAGTATTATTACATGCAGTGTATTTAGATACGGTTGATTTATCGTTAATAATGAGAGGTAATGGTTGCGGAAACAGCGCCGGTAGTCTTGGGGAGGTAATTATGTTGTATTCGAATAACTTTAATCGTCTAATCTTCTGTATTATTACATACTATTTTTTAATGAGTCATTGCAATAATTTGTACACTGTCTCATGTATATGTACTCCCTTAGGTTCAAGCTCTCACTCATACTGGACGCGTTCGACCAAGCCCCTTGGAGGAAGCGATGGAATTGTACCAAATTGGCAGATTTTTGGAGTTAGATATACTGTCACAGGGTTGTGAAGATCTTATTTTAGAGTACCTTACATTGGAATCGCTTCCAGCTGTATTGAAGTCAGTTTCTTGTTGTAAAATGATTTTATCAAAATTATTCTCTTATTGTTGTGTAATTACTTATCACCAGATGGGGTAGCCAACCTCATGGATCTGCATGGGTGCACAGACAAGCGTTGCATTACTTGAGAGAGGAATTCCAGCCAGTCGCTTCTTCTTCTATTCTTCATCAATTGGATCACACGCATCTGGCGAATGTTTTGCAAAGTCATTTTTTGCAAGCGAGCGAACTTGAAATACTGCAGGCGGTACTCAAGTGGGGGGAACAAGAATTGGTGCGCCGTATGGAAGACAGAGAGCCTAATTTACTCAGTCATACGGTACATTCTGTGACAAGAAAGGGGCTGAAGAAAAGGGACCTAAGCGATATAGAATTACGAGAGATACTCAGTGAACTATTGCCTCTTGTTAGAATGGATCACATATTACCGCCTAACAGTGAAGCACTCGCTCAGGTAAGAAGCTCTGAGTCCTTTCGACGAATCTCGACGTTTATTTCTGTGTAGAGTACAATAGAATTGTTATTACATATTTAGGCTATTAGAAGAGGGTTGGTATCGACTCCACCGAGTCACATGATAGGGGATGAAAGGGAGAATCTACGTATGAACGCTTGGATAAGGGGAGGAAAGAAGAATGGATTTTTTGTAAGGCCACGACTATTTATGCCGTACTACGAAGAAATAAAGGTAAACGTAAATTTCAGTCAATTGCACAGTCTGAATATATGTTTACTAGTATGTACCATGACATCGTTGGTCGTCTTTTTGCAGTCTTTAGTTGAGGAACAAATGGTCCAAGAAGCAGATTTAGTGAGATTACGAAGGCCACGGTACGTTGCCGATATTCCTGATGCCTTGTACATGGTTGACGAGAAACCGAGACCAATAGGCACAGCTGGTGTGGATGTGCTTGCCGCTGCGTTTCCAGGTATTTTAATAATTACGTCTCAATTGTATTTTTGGTTGTTTTGTTTCTCTTAAAAGGGACTCGTTCAGTTTATATTCTATCGAAGTTCCAGATTCCGTAACTCTGGCAGCTATGATGAAACGAGAACAGAAGTTGAGGCAGTCCCCTAGTTGTCAGAGGGCTATCAGTTTACCACTTTCGTCGCGTCACGAAATCAACAGGCAGGTGCGGCTACGTGTCGTGAGGGAGTTCAACTTACCTGATACTGTGGCGGATCTTTTAGAGGTTGGTGTTTGATTTTTTTATTTCTGTAGGCAAAATGATTTTCCTTAGATTTTTCTTCTCGGAATACTTACAGGATTATTTACTCTGAAATTATTTCGCTTAGAAAAGTATTCAACATCGTCGTTTTAATGATAAAATTGCAAAACTACAAACACCTGATTTTTCAGAAAGGAAGACAATTACGTTGTCAATTAATATAAATTCACTTTGCACTGACTTTATCCAACAACTACGTGATTTGTATTTATTTTATGGTCTTTTAAAATACATAGTGAGAAACTAAGTTACATAAATAGTCAGAAACAAACAAAATTATGCATTTAGCTCTAATTACAGTGTTTTATGATTAGTCTTTTCTTCTGTCACTGATTTTTTAATTATGTTGAGAAACAATTGATAATTTAATATGTCGGCACACGTCGTCACGTCGATATATTGTACATACGTGTAACTAGGAAGTCCGTTGTGTCGTAATTGACTATTTATTATTTAAATCGACGATAAAAAGTAGTACTGATTATCGTACTTCAATGTCGTGTTACATAAAGGTACGTGCTACTATCGGATTACACTTTGATTCAAAACAAGACTTTATTTGTGACGTCTCTATTTTACTTGACCGCAAAACAGTTTGAAAATGTGACCGTCGCATTAAGCGAAGATACGTAATAAGTATGCGGTAATAAACGTTTAAATAATTACAGATACCTTTGCATTTACATAAGGTAGTTGATTGCCCAACAATTATGTTACCTCAGCCAGTTTTACGGATCATGTAAGTTCACTTTTTCTTTTGGTAAAATATGTTCTTTCGAAACCTTTTATTATTCACAAGATGCTTTTCTAATTACAATAAAATATTTCTGTCGGACCATACAAAGCAATGTGTAAATCCTTGGAAAGAATAGAAATATTTTTTTATGACCACGTGTACATAATCATCACCTGGCCTTTCCGTGAGATTGTATAATTTTTCGATACACGTTGTTTATCTCTAATATTCTCTACATATGTACACTAACTTTCATATAAATATAATTTATAAATTTCAATAGTATCATATACAATATACATAGATATATATATATATATATATATATATATATATATACACACACATGATTTAGGTGCCATTGAATTTGTACTTTAAACATATTCTCATATAAAAATAATCATTCAATTTATAACAATTTCTCTAAAAATACAATAACAACCGAATTAAATACTATTCGATCAACCATCCTCGTTCGTCGAACAACTTCACTATCTGTAATAATTTTTCTCTGTACACATCGTCAACTCCTCGATTCAAGAACATGTCTCCCTTCAGGTCCTTCATCTCCGGAGCGGATTCTTTAGGCGCCTGAATGACCTGCGCCATCATCAGGCACTGATTGAACTTGGCTGGTCCACAGTAATTGACCAGCTCATCGAAGCTCCGTTTGGTGAACTTCTCCGTGTCGACCTTCAGTGTCTTCAACGATTTTATGAAGCAACGATAGTAGTAGTCGATCATGTCGCTCAGTTTATGGTCTAGCACGTCTTTCTTCACACTCGACACGAGGAAAAAGAGAAGATCGTAGACGCCGTGATCGTACAGGCATAATTGAAAGTCCACGATCTTCATGCCGATCAATTCACCCCGTGCGTCGTGTCTGAACATCATGTTGTTCACCCAGAAATCATTATGGACCAATGTTGCCCACGGTTCTTCCGGCTTTCGGCTGTTCTTGTTCAACTGAATGCCAAACTCGATGGTTCTGCTGACACGATCCAAATATGGTTTGGCCTCTTCGATCTCCTTCAGGTCCGCTTCCGCTTTTCTCACCATGTCGATCACACACTTCTCCGTCGTGTCGTTTAGAACCTCTGTTAACACTTCCGACACGATTTCCCGAAAGATTTCCGGTTTCTTGAGCTTTAGTGCCACGGTGTGCGCATGTAATTTGGCCAGTTCCTCGAGCGCGAAGTCTGTGTGCTTTCTGTCCAGTCCGTGTATCCTGTCTTGGGTGTCATAACCATTGTATTTCAGGTTCTCTAGAATGATGACAGCGTGCTCGTCGAATTTCTCTGGGTCACAAAGCCCGAGTCTTCCACCGTAGAATTTCGGCGCTAGGACGCAGATGTCTTGCTTCTTCACGCCGCTCTCCAATTGAAGCTTCTCGAACTCTCTGGTCATTATGCTGTAAAATTTCAGCTCCTTTCGGAAAGTGACCGGACTGTTGAACAACTCCAGCAGGTATGCCGAAGTAGGCGGCAGTTTTGCGACAAGATTCAAGGTCTCTGTTCTGTTGGCCCGGGTCAGTGTCACGTTCATGGCCAACATAACGCTTCCGAAGTTCTCGCCCGGGGCGGTCAGCGGTTTCCATTCTAGGCTCTTTATCTGAAAGTCTGCGCCGAGACTTTCGGCCAGCAGCGCTTCCAGGTCCTGTATCGAGGGTCGTTCGACGGATGGAGTCATTGTTTACCTGGAAATTGGATATTTATTCAATTCTTGGCGGTAGAATAAATTATTGATGAGTGTTCGAAAGCTCCTCGGCACTGAAGATTAAATATTTCATAAACTAATGATTATATGCGGCTGAAACAAATATGTTTGGCTTCAAAATTCTAAGCCCTATCACTGTGTTTAACCAAATTAAAAATTCGGCGTTACACCTGAGGACCTCTTCTTGTCAGTGCCGAGGAGCCTTCGAACACTCATTGATGATTTACGGTATTATGTACATATATTTATTGTATTTGTACGAGGGTCATTTGAAAGGTTCTTGGAACGAGGTGTCGATAACTTCACGTGGTTTTAGAAATTTCTTTAATTCATCGGAAGGGTTTTATTTTTTACACTCCTCAGGTTTGTGGGGGACCTCGATAGAAGTATCGGGCAATTGTTTATGTTTTTGCTAATATTCGATGATTCGAGTGAATAGTTTCCGTTTCAACTCCGAACACAATACTTTAAGAATAATAATTTCTATAATTTATCTGTCTGATCTCGATTTAAATCCGAGAAATACATATTATTCTCGAGTCTCTCAACGAGGAATTCTAAAGCTGTTTTCTTTCCGTGTCACGAACGACTACACAGAAAACCATAATCAAATAAGAACTATTTATAAACAACGCCACACGACATTAGTCATCCTCCTTTGTTGATTGTTCTCGACGTGTTGCGTTCAGGCATTGCGTAACATCAATTATCATAGAGTATCATCTCTTCGTGCTGGGATTTGAAATTTCATCTGGCCACCGATTATCCGAGTTTACGATAGATCGTCCAAGAAACTTGTATCGCATATGGCTAATAACACTGATTCGATTTCACGATCGAATGTGTGCACAACTGAAGAAAATTATCCCGCGTTACTCAAGAGTCTCAAATTATATTCGGGTATAAAAACCAGCGTTTAAATATTTTACACTTACGGAAATATAAAAGCCCAGTACACTACCTTGCACCAGAAACGTGATTACAAGAATGCGTTATTGTACGCGTCCGGAGGCAGACGACCAACTAACGATAACATTTATCAGTACTATTTGCCTTTTTTTTCGTTATGCGCGCGACAGTCACTGATTAGAACTCTATCGGCGTATCGTATTCCACTGTAAAATTTTCTCCATTATCCCCATCCCTTTTCTTAGCCACTACGTGCCATATATTGACTTCCCGTGCGGTCATTTTTTAAGACCAAACGGCGCTATAATAGCTCAGTTCTACAGGAAGATGGCCACGAAAGACGATAAGCGTCGCTGCGAAATTTCAGGACATTCCTGAAACTTCACGAAAAATTGTGTTAAACAAAAGATCGGTTGTATTTATATGTGTGCAAAACTTTCGTGAATTAGAACTTTATCTGCATTTTTTTCTCGAGGATATAGACGTTACTGTGTACTTTTTTAACCCTCGTATAGTGAACTGTGAAACACCCACGGCTATAATTAATATTTATTGTTTTCTAGGTTGAATTTTCTTTATATTATGGCGAATTTGTATTCTTTGGGCAATTAAGACACACGTGGGTTGATTAACTAAATTTTGTTGAAAAACGGAGTTAGAACAATTAAGAACTCAGTCGACGAAGTATGTTATCAAAGGATCGTCCCTGTCCTCTAATTTCCAGCAATTACTTTTTTTCTAAGCTGATTCAACGTATCTGGGTAACTTTCGTTGCCAGTGAAAGGACATAAACAATCGAATACGATCAAAATGCTGATTCATTCGCTTATTTGAATACTAGCTGTAGTATTTTAATTTCCGAGAAATCCGACCGATCGATTAAAATACCGATGATTTATTACGTTCGCCTTTATCTGTGTAGATGTGGGTACACGAGCGTGTGCTTGTTGGTGTATGTAAATCATGTTAATTGTTCAACTTTTGCGATCTAGACAGATAAAGGATATATAGGGGCGTTACAGTTGCTGGCAATTTTTAAAAAACTTGCATCATCGAATTATCATAAGAAAACGCGCGGTTAGCGTGGCGACGACGTCTGGTCGATAAATAGAATCTTCCATATTTCTAATTGCATTGAGAGTCGATTGTGTAACGACGAAAAACGAGCAGGGACGCGTCAAGAGTCGACAGGATGCTCGAACAATTTGCGATCGTTTAAAAATATTCGCCTAGTCACGCGAAAATATTAGCGAAGACGCGTTGAAATTTGCAGATATACCGACTGATTTGACGCGGGTGCGATGCATCCGTTCGTGAGCGTATTTTTTGCTAAAACTCTGTATTCGAATTATAAGTATTCGGATATTCGAACTACTTGAATAATTTCGAATACGCATAATTCATTCGAAGTACGGAGTATTCGAATATTTGAATAGTATGAAGTATTGTTTGACAAATCCGCGCACCGTTTTCGGAGGCTTATATACGAGTTTAACTACTTCGCATAGTCTATTTGTATAATCGCATAATCTCAATTTACGTAACATTTTTTCGATTTTTTTGAAACCAAAATCATTGATTAGGTAGCACACAATCCTTTTAATATATTTATTTTATTCTTTTAGGTATGGTGTAAGATTTTCTATTAAAAATCAATCTAGAAGTCTTTAAAATCTTAAGTAACCGTTGTTTTTCGACCATACAAGTTTTTAATTCTTTATCTCATTTAAAGTTTCCGAAAAGTATAAAAGCATAAAAGTGTAAAATCAAATACATAATGCATTTGAATTTTGTGCAGATAGTAACAAAATGACATAATCTTATTGTTGTCAAGTTGAAGCGTATACTCTCTTTGAAGTTGCATTTGCATTTTGTTAAATGGACTTGTAATAAACCAGTTGAAACAACGCGTTTCTAGATGCCGAATGCTTTTACGCTGCAATGGTATGGAAGCAATGCGTCGGGAATCGTTAATGTTATTTCCCGATGCATATGTAATTATCTATTCAGTTGTCTGTTATAAGTCATTCTGATTTATGGGATAAACCATGTCGTCGTCGATTTTACGACCGGGAGATAGGCTTCACATGCTAATTAAAACGTCTCCAGCAGCGATCGATTCAGAGCAGAAAGTATCGAGACTTCGAAGTCGAAGCCATTCGATTGAGAGACATTTATATGTAGACCCGTAAGGAAAATAAACAAACGTTCATCTAAAGTAATTATTGCGATCACCATTCATCAATAATAAGAATTTCAGCCGTATATGATATTAACTTGACAGGAGTCTACACCTTACATTAGATATACCAATAAATTATCCACTGTAAAAACCCAAACTAACTTTGTTCCGTTTATTACAAAATATGGGAGGGAACTGATTTGTTTCATAATAATATTATCATTATTGATGATACAAATAAATTATATTATATTATTTAACGCTTTAAGGCATGAATTATGTTATTGTTATATTTTTTACCGCAGTATTTATGCTAGATACTTGAAAACTGTTCAAATAGGGTTTTTTTTTTTAATTTTTTTTTATTACATGTCCTAGCTGGGTTCTAAGCTTATTGGTTCATAGTAGCTTTATATTCTAATATAAGTGGTGAATTTTCACAGTGATTCGTGATTTTTTATGATCCTTTCTGATTGGTGGAGAACATATGTGATTTCGCACACCATCTCTAGTCAGGACATAAAAGTAAAGTACGAATACTTTTTTAGCCAAGTACAGTCATGTCATTATTTATACGGTACTTTCTATACGTGATTTCATTTTCACACGGTTAATTTATCGATCGATTTACATGGTACTTCTTTACACGCGGTTTCAGTTTCACGTAATATCGGTGTACACGATCGAAAAAGTAACATTTCTTATTACATAAAAATTATTGTAGACCAATTACCAGAAATTTCATTTGCGGAATTTCTTGTAAAAGAAACCACGAAAGTCTTCGGTGTCTGCCATTTTTAATGTGGCCATGTTATGCAAAGCCTGATACGTTGGAAAAACTGTGATTGACCGCGTTTCTTGCAGTACATTTACTCTATGTATTACGAAAAAGAAAACAAAGAATTTAACGCTAGTAACGTGGACATTTTTATACTTCAAATAGTAAAAAAAATTCCTTTAATATTTATTATACTAAATATGTAACTTCGACCCTATTTTGGTAGGACGCCTTGTTATTTCTACTTTATCTTCGTTATTATTCGTTTTCCCAAAGATAAAGACTAAATATCAGGTACATATATATTCACGTTTGAAACATTGATAATATTAATTTCTGTCGTCCTAAAACAATGTTTTTTTTTTTACTTAATGCATTTGTATCACTTATGTATATGAACGGCACAGTAAATTGGTGTCTAATCTGTCAATCCGAAACCTTGAAAATGTTTACGATAATTTTCCTGCACAAACGCCAAACTAATTATTGTATCGTACTTAGTGTCCCAGGTGAACAATGAATTTAGATTCGTTTTTAATTACGATGGCAGTCGCGACGAGAAATAACGTCGCGGAAATGAACAGTTTAAAACAGATATCATCTTTTTTCTTCGGTAATGAAACAATTGCATTCAGGCATTTTTCTGACATGTTCAGATTCAATTTCCATGTTATGATATATTACATCGCTCGCGTGTAAGCGTTCCCGACAAATAGTTTAAATTTTCATTTAGTTATCTCTGCGTGAAAGAATACGTTTCGCAAAATCGAGCCATGCGGAAACCAATCTGTAACAGTTGATTAATCTGTATTAGTAGATACCAATATGTTGTATTACACTTATTTTTAATCCTACCGTAATTTTACTGCTAGGAAACGCGTTAACAGTGATACCGTCATGTTTCTAGTCATCTGTCTGTTCGATGCAAGAGGTAATTGATTTAGATTGGTTACAGTTTTTAACCTTGGCGGGCCTCGTTCCGTTACCTTGGAGCAATGTGTTACTGTTCCGATTAGATAAAAGAACAACATCGTGAAAAGGAGTGTGACCGGCAATCATATTCCATTCCTATCATATACCCATTTCCTATTGTTTTAATTGCATCTCCCTC